TATGCTGCTTTTCGAAAAATACTCTTCTGAGATCTATGGAAAGGCAGCTGCAAAAGCAGCTGCACAAACTCGAAAAGTGGTCAAACAATAACGGATTCAAGTTCTCCCTGTCGAAGACGGTTGCAGTACACTACTGCCGAACAGGCAGACGTGTGCTGCAGCCGGATTTTACACTATACTGGGAAAGGATTCCCGTCCAGGACCAAGCTCGTTTCCTCGGCGTTATATTCGAAAAATAACTCACATTCATACCACACATCAAAGACCTTCGTGTGAGGTGCCAGAAAGCGCTTAACGCTTTGAAAACTCTATCGCATCCTGAGTGGGGCGGGGACTCAAAACACCTTCTCCACTTGTACATCTCCCTTGTCCGGTCCAGGCTTGACTACGGCTGTCAAGTCTACGGATCGGCAAAACCACACGTCCTGAAAATGTTAGACCCAGTACAAAACCAAGGACTCCGCCTCGCTCTGGGGGCTTTCCGCACTTCTCCGGTGGAGAGCCTCCCTCCGTGGCACCTCACCAAGGCAAAAGTAGATTTACAGCTGGCCACACACAAGAAGGAAAGCACACACCAAAACTTTTAAAGTAGAATACAAAAAACTAATAGATAAATACACATTGCTACATTGGCTCCCTGCTAAAACCCTTGTTGATTGCAAAGTTGCAGTAATGTGCTGTAAGTGTAGGAACAATCTAGCACCACAATATCTGTCTAATTTACTACTCGAGTATATTCCATCTCGAAATTTACAATCCATTAATTAATAAGAAACAGTCAAACTGTGCTTTGCAAATCTAAAAAAATTGGAGTAGGGCTTTTTCGACAACTGTTACCTCAGCATGGAATTCCCTCCCACTGCATTTAAAAGGAGTGCCTACTTTGATCGCATTTAAATCTGGTCTAAAAACATGTTATTTAAACCCTGTTTTGCTAACTAGTTTTATTTTTCTTCCAATAGTACATGTGATCAGTAGCCACAGTGATTTTCTTTTTGTATATGTGTTCTTCTTCAGATGAAGAGTGAATAATATTTAGTTGAAAGAATTGTTGTAGGCTACATTGAATGGACCAGTATGTTTTCAATTTTTAGCGAAAGTTTTACGGCACAATTAGGTCATAGGATGCTGAAGATTAGAGGTGTTAAAAGAGAGTAACAAACACAAAAAGGAAGGAGGAGAGATGAGGCTGATATGTTTGATAGGAAAGAAGGAGCAGACCATACCAGAGCACCCGCCAACCACTCACAATGGGTCAGAATGCATGAAACGTTGATTTGAATCTCATCATATTGTGAAGTGCTTAGAGCCACCAGGGAGTGGATGATATAGAAGTGATCATTGTTAATGTTTTTATTATCATTATTTAGTATTTTGTAATCATAAAATGGATCACTCTAGCAGAACTCATGGTAATATCTAAAAAAAAAGCAGCGAATCCTGTTTGCTAGCTTATAAGCAAAAGTGAAAAGATCAAACTAGTTCAAACAATTTAAGTATCTAGCTCTTTCCGGACGTAGTTTTTTTTTGGGTCTTGTGGCTCGATTTGGCTACACAGGTGGTGTACAAAATAACTTCATATAAGCATATCATCACTGAAATCGTAACATATGATATATATCAAATGGAAGGAAATTGAATGAGGAATACATTCCAACATGAAACAAGGATTAATTTTTAACATAAGTATGCATTACAAGGGTTAGAAATGGTGATGAGAAAAATAAATTTTGATGGAAAAAATTACATTCATTAAACAAGTGAAAGCAAATCAGCATAAATATCTTATCATATACAGGCCAAGAGCATAATCCATAAGTTTCTGAATGCGCAGCTTTTTATTTGAAAGCAATATTCCAATTTTTGTTTGAGTTATGATATTTGCTCTGAGTCCGGTTTCATCGTTTTGTTGATGAAAGACCACAAGAACTAATTCACTTGCTTTTCGCCAAACCGACGCTTTGACAAAGTGAAACTAGATGTTTTCATTTCTTAACCCTATCCTTATGTTGTGTTTTACTATCGTATCTATACGACGTGGGGAACTCTGTGCCATCACTTTCCAAAGAGGAAATTTACTCGTTAATCTGATTCGTACGCTTTGCATAGCAGTCTGTCAAAATGATTTTTGAGAAATACTGAAAGTTTCAAAGAGATCTTCGTACTAGAAGTATTCTAAAATGTGAAGAATACAATCCCAGGGGTACAAAATGACCCCAGGGCGTACGATAGAGTTAAATCCTTTTCAAGGTTTCAATAACAATAAAAAGTAATTGTGAATGACAGATCATGTTAAAACGAAACAAAATTGAGGCACCCTATCACAGCTGAAATATCGGCGATACTTCTGCAAGGGGTGTGGACTCGCTCCGATATATCAGCGATACGTCCTGAAACAGCTAGGAATGCCCAATGTCCACAGAAATAAAGAAATAAAATAGAAGAATTGCAATAACTTAAGACAGTTTCAATAAAATGGGCCCAATCCTGAAAAATGGAAACATCTCAAGGACTACCAAAATAAGAGTTTAAAAAGGCTTTGTGTGGTTAAGTCTTCTCTATACGATTTTGAATATGGATAATTACCAAAGACTGAAAATGAAATACAAGCAGCAGAAATATTACTTCCTAGGAGACTGTTGAAATTCACTGAAGAAAAATATATCAAATGAGGTAGAACAGTGGTGTCTGCCTAACAGCAACCCCTTGGGAAGTAGATTTTGGTTGCTCTTATGCAAAGGTTGCTGCTAACTGAATTTTCAAAGGGAGAGGTGTGGGGTCATTATGTTAAACAAGCTTTGGTTTCTATTAGGAGGAGGTTACTCTTATGTGGTGTGGGTGGCTATTAAGTGGACACCACGGTACTTTAAAAGCCTATGTGGGCTGCTCATTAATTTAAAAAATAAATAAAAAGAGACAAATGTATGGGTGCCTGGTGAAAGGAACCGTAAGAGGCATTAACTGAGTTACAAGCCAATAAAGGTCAAAAATTGAAATTTTACCAAATTCGAGTTCCATTTAAAAATGATTCTTTTGTCATTTATCTAATGGTATTTAGAAGGCTTTGTGTTTACTACTAAAAGAAATGTATTTTGAAGATGTTTTTTGACACAAGTCATCTTATATAATAACAAAAATTGAGTTGGAACATTTGCTGTCAGAGCCTACATCAGTGGAAGGTTTCTACAACTCATTCATAAAAGCAAAACCCATCACATTGCATACCAAAATTTAGGTCAGCATGTAACCTATTTCGATCTGACTACTTGGCATCAGTGTGACGAAAGAGTAAAGTTTATAGTATTGTCATTTAAGAAGATTCAACATAAGTTAAGGACCACTTGCAAACACTCTGAGTTGTCTTCTTGGGTTGACTTGCATGTGTACGTTCTTGGACTGATCCAGTGGCTTGATGGCGCTGCCTCAGGCGGAAAATAACAGAGTGTGACACTGCAAGCCTTCTGGCAACTTCTCGAGCTCCAACTCCATCCTGCAGCCATGCCATAGCTCGGGCATGATCAAAGTCTCTCAGCTTTTGTCTTGGTGGCACGTTGATGCGATACTGGATTTTTCGCAAACGGCTGCTTTTATTGCCACCAAAGTGAGCGCAGTTCGAGACCAAACGTCTGTTTATGACGTACACCCGAAATTTTTACTGAGTAATGTCTGTGGTGTCGCACACAAGTCATTAAAAACCCCCTGCAAATTTGGCTAAAATTCCCCGAGGATTTCCATGCTGCACATGGCGGTTTTGCCCTTTTGGAAGCTTTGCAGTATGCATTGTAACCCATTAACACTTTCAGAGCAAACAATTTTGAAACTTTCCTTGCTGTTTTTTTTTTTCAAATAAAAAAAAAATCAGGGCTGTCTGTCAAGGTGGTCCTTTACTTTTGTTGAAGGCTGTATAACGCATTCATGTGTTTGGAGGGTGCCACTGATAGGTCTTACTTCTTAACTTTCCCTCGGGTGTTTTTGTCTGTCAGTCTTTTTTCACCCTAGCACTAAATGACCATTATTGTGTCGATGTGCTTCTCTTTACTCACACAAACAAATAAAACTCATTCCTAAAAATCAACCCCATTACATCACATATCAAATTTTAGGTCAGCTAGTGTGCTATCTTGTTCTGTGCACTGCTCAAGAATACATTGACTCAATAAAAAAGGGAGGCTCTGCACATACATGTACCCTCCCACACTTTGTAAGCAAAGAAAAGCCATTTTGTGACAATTTTAGTTTTACTGGATCGTGAATTGGTTTTAAATGCGTTTCAATGACACTTTGAAACTGTTCAGTTGTCTTAAACATTTTTTTAAAAGTTGCCCTTTGATGAGTTTTAACGGTTATGTTATGTGTTATGGAGACAAACAGAATGGCTGGCTGATCGATCGATATTCATTTTAAGTTGAACACAATCTAGAACTAAGGGTAACTTTAAAGCCACTTTTCTCAAAACTTTGTTTCGGCACCCTACTTGACAAAATTAATCTGATCTCACAAAATGCTGAAGCTATCTTAAAAATTTAAAAAGCAAGTTGTCCAGAACTGATTTTTGTACAAGAAAATACAATAAAATGCACTTCCTCAAAATATGTTATTCAGTACCTTTCACCAGGCACGCACACAAGTTTTTAGGACATGAATGTACTGGGCTTGAACAGCTTTTGCTTACTGGTAAAACTAAAGGCAAACCGATCAGGGTATACCCAGAGCAACTTACTTGGAAAGCTTGAACAGGGGTCATGAGGCAAGACCAGGATAGTAGGTTTTTTTTAGAGCATCTGAGCAAAGAAATGAATGGCCAACCATGATTGCTGATGTCTGTTACAGATCTGGTACTTGTTGATTGATTGATCGAGTAGCCTACTTATATTTTCTGAATGGTGGATAAGTAGAGGGTACTACTGATACGTTGTAATTCTCTTTCTCTGTATTTTGCTTTTGTTAGTTATTGATATTGCAGTTTCTCCAAATTGTAATATATTGTAACTTATTCTCAGAACCCTGTCACTGTGAACGACTTCTTGTCTGTCATGATGGCCATCCCGGGACGACAGACACTGATGTGGCTGCCAGCCCTCAACCGCATGTCACATGTGGAGAATGGTAATATTTTCCCACATGAATGTGAACCATGTTTTATTTTAGTCTAGTTCTGAAGGCCTGGAGATCTTATGTTGAGATCTAAGTTTGATTACTGACACCTTATAACTGTAACATTAGAAATGAATACCATGTTGAGTGCTTATTTTTTGTGGTCATTGGTTCAAAAGATGAACTTTATCAATGGCACACAGTGTATGGGCATCTCCATGTGCACAACACTCTGCTTGGTAGGGTTGTGTAACAATAGAAATGATGCAATTTCTAGACAAAGAGTGCCTGGAGTGAATTTGTTACTGGTAACAGAATGTGCCTCACTAGAAATGCTGTAAGCCCTTTAGGAAATTGAAGTGGCCAAGTGAGTTAATTTGAAGTTAAGGCATTCCCTTAAAAGGGAAAAAAGAATTAAGCATGCTGTCTTTTATGACTTTTATTTTCAAAAAACATTTTATATTCAACCCCCCCCCCCGGGCGGTGCTCCTGACTGAAGTGTCTTTAGGCCATTCCCAAAGGGGGGACATTACCATGTTCTGTTGCACAGTAGCACAGTAGAATTGTAAATGGGCTGATTCATCAATGTCATGCTCATAACTGTGCCGGAATTGCAACAGGGAACTGCTGCTTTTTCTTTCCTCATCTTTACTATCGTCAATTTTCCTCTACTTCTTTTGTATCATGTTTGTCACACTCTTGTGACCTGCTATTTCCGGGGTGCCATGATAGTCGAATCAGACTTTGTGTTATTGAAGCTAGAGAGGTGAGCAGAGTAAGCCCGATTCCCCGTAAGGACTTTTCTGTTGACATCCACCCCTTGGTGCTCATATGACCTTGTGCAGTTACAAGCGTTGTAAAACCTCTACTAAAACAACGAATGTATTGTTCTCTATTATTGCTATCAATTGCTCACTGAAATATCTTTTTCTTTATTTTTGTGTAGGCCCACGGACTGCCTTTAAAATTGTTCAAATATTTTCCAGGGTAGTGTAATTTGTAGATAAATGTGCTGTATGCAATTGTGGTTAGAACTTGAAATGTGTTCTGCTCATCCACATAATAGATAGGGGAGAAATGGAAATTCCATGTAGGATTGTGGATGGGAAAGTGTTTAGAGTTGTTTAAAACTTTGTCAGACAGATGGCAACTATTTGAGCTTTTACAACTACACCAAGTTGGCTTTTACACATGTATAGAGTTTCCCATCTTTCACCTATCTGTGAAGGTGTCCTTAGTAAGATGAGGAACTAGAACTTTAAATCAGAAAATAAAATAATAATAAATTGTAGCATGAAGAGAAACAAACACACGTAAGCCATTGCAGGACGAGACATAACTTTCGTACATTCCACCCGAACAGCTTGGACACTTTCACTGAACTGACACTTATGAACTCAAGTGCGACGTACTACACGTAAAAACAACACACCTTAACAATTTGGTCTTAAGGTTAGTTGCCACACACCTCCCCCAGCACTGACGTCTCATGGGATCATTGGTAGCGTGCGGGTGGACGCACTTGACGTCCAGCACGTGACGTCAGTTGTCGGTGGTGAACGGCCTCAGTATCTTGCTCTCGCCCATCGGTGTTCCTAACGGTAGGTTTTGATTCCCGCAACACCGGAGGGCGGCCGCGTCGTGCTGGTTGCTGTAGATAGACAGGTTGGGTTGGGTCTACCTGTGCAGGCTTGAGGCGATCTACTAAGATGCATTCCGTGCGGCCTCCGATATCCAGAAGGAAGGTCTTTTCTCCCGGGGCGAGAACCATGTAAGGACCTGTGAATGGTCTTTGAAGTGAACCTTTCACGGTATCTGTGCGGATGTAAACATACTTCGCTGTTAACAAAGATGGTGGGAAGTATGTGACTGGGTCACTGTGGTGGATAGCTGGTCTAGGCCTAGTGAACTGTGCTTTAGCTCGAAAAGTTGTTAAAAAATCGGTTGCTGACCAGGCAGATGCTTCAGAGGGTAAAAGATCACCTGGAACAGTCAGTGGCTCACCATAGACCAGTTTTGCTGATGAATATCCCAGGTCATCCTTGGGAGCGGTTCGTAGCCCAAGGAGTACCCAAGGAAGTTCTTCCACCCATTTGTTACCAGTGAGTCTGGCCTTCAATGCCATTTTAAGTGAGTGATGGAACCGTTCGATCATTCCATTTGCTTGGGGGTGAAAAGCCGTTGTTCTATGTAAGTGAACTCCAAGGCGTTGAGCTATATCAGTCCAAATTAGAGAAGTGAATTGAGATCCTCGGCCCGATGATATATCGGCAGGAACACCAAAACGGGAGATCCATCCTCCTATGAGAGCGTTAACACATTCGTCTGTTGTTATGTTAGGCATAGGGATCGCCTCTGGCCATCCTGTGTTGCTGTCAATAATGGTTAAAAGATACCTTCGACCACGTGACTGAGGAAGTGGACCCACTATATCAATATTGATGTGTGAAAACTGCTTGTCGGGTACTAAATGTCTCTAGGGGGCACGGGTGTGTTTCTGGATTTTCGACGTCTGGCATTCGTGACACCCAACTGCTGACCTGACGTCGTAGGCCATGCCACACAAACTTTTCAGAGATGATCTTAACTGTAGCCTTAACGCCTGGGTGTGAAAGTTTGTGTGCAGACTTAAACACCTGGCGTCTGAACTCTGGAGGCACAATGGGCCGAGCTTTGCCAGTTGAAATGTCGCAAAGGACTTCGGGACCTTCGTCGCTCAACTTCGTTTTAATGACCTTTATGCTTGTGAAAGCTGAAGTGTACGCCTGTATATCAGCTGTACTCGACTTCTGAGTTGCTGTTAAGGCTGCAAAATCTATGCCGAGTGAGACTGCATTAGTTGTGATCACAGTACGTGAGAGATAATCGGCAACAATGTTTGTCTTTCCAGATATGTGCCTGATGTCAGTACTGAATTCCAAGATAGCAGATCGCTGCCTTTGCTGCCAAGCTGACCACAAGTCTGTAGTTTTTGACATTGCAGAGACCAACGGTTAGTGATCGGTGTAGATATAAATTGCCTACCTTCCACCATGTACCGGAAATGGCGTATTGCAAGATCTACACCTAAAAGCTCTCTATCAAAGGTGCTGTATTTCATTTCCGGCTTACGTAGTTGCCGGCTGAAAAAGGCGAGAGGCTCCCAACGATCATTCTTGTATTGCTCGAGGACAGCACCGACTGCCACATCAAATGCATCACAAGTGAGAGCGATTGGGCAGTCTGCGCATGGATGAACCAGAATAGATGTGTTTACCAAGGCTTGTTTACCCGAAAGGAATGCCTGGTTCGTTTCATCGGTCCAACTTAGAGCTTGACGAGGTTTCTCTGTTTTCAGAGCGTGGTAAAGTGGGTGCAAAATCGCAGCGATGTTGGGAATGAGACGATGGTAAAAATTCAGTACACCCAGAAACTCCTGCAGCGCTTTGACTGTATTTGGCTTAAGAAACTCCTTAACGGCATCAACCCGAGAGGGCATAGGTGATGAACCTGACGCAGAAACCCGATGTCCTAAAAAATGAAGTGATGCAATGCCAAAAAGACATTTTTCCAATTTAATCACCAAGCCATGGTGTCGCAACCGCTGAAAAACTGCGTTGAGGTCGTCGACGTGAGACTGGGCTGATGAACTAGCAACTAGGATATCGTCCAGATATACAAATGCACAATCTAGGTCCTGAAGCACTGTGTCCATTAGTCGCTGAAATGTTTGTGCTGCATTCTTTAACCCGAATGGCATCCTCAAGAATTCCCACTGACCGAAGGGTGTGATCAATGCCGTTTTAGGTACGTCCTCGGGCTCCATGGGGATCTGATGATATCCTCAAACAAGATCAATTTTAAGGAATTGGTCTTACCATTTAGGCGAGCAGAAAAGTCCTAAATATGGGGTATGGGGTAACGATCTGGGACTGTAGCATCGTTCAACTTGCGGTAATCTCCACCTGGGCGGGACCCTCCGTCGCTTTTAGGCACAACATGCAGAGGCGATGCCCAGGGACTGTTTGATTTCCGTATTATGCCCATTTTCTCTATCCCAAGGAACTCCTTCTTTGCAGACGCGAGTTTGTCTCGTGCCAGGCGACGAGCACGAGCAAAAACAGGTCGATCTTTGGTGGGAATAAAGTGTTGCATACGATGCTTGACATCGGCTGAGGAAAAAGTACTCTTTAAGAGTTCGGGATACTTGTTGAGAATCTTGCGGAATCTATTGCTTGATGGTTCTATGAGGGCCAGATCTGGGCCGGTTGAAATGGAACTGACCGAGCAAGAGATATGCGAGAAGGTGTCTGCCTCAATTAGACGGTGTCCTCGAACATCAACTAATAAATTGTGCTACCGGAGGAAATCAGCCCCAGTAAGGGTCGCTTAACATTGGCTGATATCAAACGTGCTTTAAACACACGGTCACCGAAATAAAGAGGAATAACTTTGGATCCATAGGTCACTATGGTTGAGCCGTTGGCTGCTTGCAAGGGTGGACCTGTCTCACCTGACGTTCTTTCAGCCCATGACGCTGGTGTTACAGAGACTTGGGCACCTGTGTCTATCAGGAAACGTTGTTTAGACTTAATGTCCGTGACAAACAGCTGAGTTACTTTACAATCTGTCGTCGGTGTCGTAAGAGTTGTTGTTGAGCAACATTTCGGACCAACAGTCGGATCTTCTACTTCTACTGCTGGCCCGCTCTTCCGTTTCCCTGATGCTTTTTGTGTTGGAAATTCTTAAAGTGCTTGCATGGACTGCTGTAGCGTCTTGCGTTAGATCCAAATTTTCGATGGAACCAGCAAATAGCATCAGCTTCGGAAAGGCCTGAAACAGAATCGGTAGGTCGCACCGCTGTATAGACTTTCAAATTTGGCGAAAGGGAGTTGTACAGGTTATCCGCTTCTTTCGCCAATGCGCGGTAATCTGTTCTGTGGTGGGAGTTCGCCAGAGGAGCTCGAATAGGTTCTGGCAGCAGCTGTAAAAAAATATGGCGAAAAAGAAAACCAGGTTTGTGTTCTCCCAACAAAGCTAGCATTTTTTCCATCATCTCAGAGGGCCTGTTATCGCCCAGTTCTTTTATGCTCAATAAGGCTGCTGCTTTTTCTTCCTCTGATAAAACTATAGGCCTCTATAAGGAAAGACTTGAGTGTGTCGTATTTTTGACTTGAAGGAGGTGAGGAAATTATGGATAGGGATCTTGCTGCTGTAGCTGCATCAAGTGCCGCTACGACGTAGTAGTATTTTGTCTCGTCAGTTGTGATCCCATGCAAAGCAAATGGGGCCTCTGTTTGTGCGAACCACGCTGAATGACAAGAAATCCAGAATGTAGGAAGTTTGAGTGCTACAGTTTCGTTTTGCCATGATTTTGAGAAACGTATCGTTGTTACTAGATTCTAGGTTATGCTAAATGAAATCTAGATTTCTAGACAAGGTTACCTTAAGTTAAATCACGTCGGGGTCACCAATGTAGCATGAAGAGAAACAAACACATTGCCATTGCAGGACGTGACATAACTTTCGTACTTTCCACCCGAACAGCTTGGACACTTTCACTGAACTGACTCTCATGAACTCAAGTGCGACGTACTACGCATAACAACAACACACCTTAACAATTTGGTCTTAAGGTTAGTCGCCACAAAATCATACTTTTCTGATCCCTGAAGGGAAACTTGGGATTCCATGGTGACCCATGTTTAGGTCCACAACTGGTAAAATGGTCTTCCTTTACTCTAGAATGAACTGACGGAAGCCTGGGCGGGGTTTATGACTTGTGGTGAGCAAATGGTGCTCAGCTGTGATGACCAATCACAGTGGCATGAGACATGCTATTTTCACTTATTCTCAAGATCTACGTGTATCCAGTTGCTCCTACCTTTAACCTGTCCAAAATGTATAGCTTTCCCTCTCTGACCGAGTTCCCCTGCCTTTGTCTTTATGCATCATTGCATTTTGACGGCACTAATTAAAATTGAGTCTGTTTCAGAAGTAGAGACAATTACGTGGGTGGTTGACGGGTACTCTGGTGTGGTTTGCCTCTTCTTTCCTATGAAGCATCTATCGTCCCTATCTCCCCTTCTTCTTTTTTTATGTTTGCTACTCTCTTGTAACACTTCTAATCTTCTGGCGCTCATATGACCTTACTCAGTTGTGAGCGACGTAAAACCTCTACTAAAACTAAAAAAGAGACAATTACTGCAGCAATGGTCAGGGAAAAGTTCACCGTTCAGTGTGACCCTGCCTGGAGTAAACTTGTTGGCCCTACCCATCCAGCGTGTGAAGTGTAAATACAGGTGGAGTTCTCATGAGAGTGCCATGGTAGCGGAAAACAAATGCGTCTGCGAGTTCACACCTGGGCAAGACCCCATGAGGGGCAAACAATGTACCGTTTCATAGAGATTTACAACAGACATGTAATCATATTCATAAGAGTGGCTGATCTGTGACGTGACGAGCAGTTAAGTGATCGCAAGTTTTCACTCTTGGTTGATCTTTTGGGCCCACATGGGTTTTTATTCCGTAATTTATGATCTGAAATATGGGATTGTAGCTGAATATAGACCTTCAGAATGGTAAGAGTAAAAAGAAAAGAAAAGTATAGAAGGAAAGCAGACACCCATGACAACCTGCGTTCCCCGCCCCCCTCTCCTTGCAAGAGTTACACCTCTTGCTGGTGAGCCATACATCAATTTGTAATACACCGACCCCACTTGAGGGAGTGGGGGGAGGAGCACCTCTTTTGGTAAGTATGAGAAACATTGTCAGAGGCAGGTGAGGTGTCTGATGTTTTCCTCTACTATTCCTCTATGTCTGCTTTGCCTTTTCCTTGCTCTGGATTACTTTTTCAGTGTCAGTGTGCAAATTTTTGCTCTTGCTCAAGCCAACTCCGTTTTTGTTTCCTTTTTTGCATAATTCTGAATGCTTCATGTAATTACCTGTTCAGTGGTGCATCCAGTGCAGTGTGAGGCATGTCGCCGAGCCTCCATCGCAGGATTCCGTTACAAGTGTCGCCGTTGCTGTAATTACAACTTGTGCCAGGACTGTTTCTGGCGGGGCAAGACTTCTGGGAACCATAGCAATGACCATGACATGAAGGAGCACACGTCTTATGTGAGTAAAAATACTGTTGTGTTTTAATGTTTATTTTTTCTAGAAGTCTTCCCTTTTAAAAAAAAAAATTGGAAGAAAACCATGTACAGGGTGATACCTGAACATCTCGCCTGTGGCGGTGGGTGGACCACACTTTGGGTGTGGCTTAGGTTTCTTCCACTTCTTTACCATCAAATAGCAAGCAATGAGAACAAAACAGTGATGATTTTTCTATACTCACAGCGAGCCATGGAATTTTGAGAACCATTCACAAATGAGAAGAGTCACCTTTGTCTTCCATCTCTTTGTTCTACGTCAAATTCTTCTGGATGGTGGGGACTAAGCCGTTTCACCTCCAAATTTCTCTAATTAATTTTCATCTGATGGAAAAGTTGCCCCAAAAGTGGTTTGATGTAATTAACAACTGTTAAATATCAGCGGGACACACACAGACATGCATGCACACACAGCACTCCAAACGTATACCGGCTATGAGCTGGATTGGGGGATGTAGTCGCGGAAAGTAGAACGCACCTAACAAAGGTCTAATGGGTGCTTCGGGAACTGTGTCACTGGGGGAAAGTGTGTCGTAAACTTTCACCCCATTGTCAGGGTTAGGAGAGCGTGAGCCCTCTCTGCAGTGTTATTTTTTTCAAGTCTTCTACCTTTTTACAAGAGGGGTTTCATTAAGGAGGGACCGTGGGAACGGGCTCGTCCTTTGCTGAGCCCTAAAGACATTTGATTGTTAGGTTACTATTGTTGTTAATGGTGACAACAACGATTGGATAAATGAGCAAGCCGCCAAGTTGATCATTCTGTGATCATAACAGTTTCAACTGCTTATTTCGTTATTATTTATTTGCTTTGGGATAGAGTTGGGGAATGGGGAGGGGGCTCATGCCCGTGAGCCTTTCACTACTTACTGCCACTGCATCTCGCACAAAACGTGTTTTAGAAGACTGTAATTTGGAACAGACATAATTCATTCAAAGGAATTTGTTTGATACAAAATTCACGAAATAGAAACTTATTTTGAAAACGGTAATGGCTTAACCTGTTGCACCCGAACTGTGAGTATACTCGTTGCTGCCACACGCTTCCGTCCACTGAGCTACGAAAATAGTTGCAGCAAAATACCAGTCCTCAAAATCAAATCTGAACCACTTATCCAGGTTTCGGTTGAAAATAATAGGTCGCTTAGTAGCTTGCAAAAACTTTTGATAGCTTGTTTTGATCCAGTTTTTTGCCAAGTACGAGTTGTTTTGTTGTTTTGTCACGGCAAATCATGGCAAGAAAGAGAGCACTGAAATCTTCATGGACGAGAATTAAAAAAAGCAGCCATAAAAAACAACAGTGTTACGGCTATTTTGTTTTTGTAAATATACATGAACCATGTTTTTAGTTTTGTTTTAGGCATAAGCGGCAAAGAAACTCATGTAAGAAATTTTTTTTCTTGTAGTTAGTTACAGACCATCGTCCAACATCGTTTTATATCATAATATCTGAATTTCTGATTCATAGGTACGAGCATAAAGAAATAAAACTGTTTTTTGCTTCTCCTGGAAAAATTGTTTCTTGGCACATTGGTGTTTGAATCACGCGGCTAGTGACATATCATAACCTAACAGGCTTCTGACTTACATATTAACATTACATTTTATTCAAAATATTTGGAGGATCAATTATGTAAGTGTTTTCGCGGTTTATGTACATAACATATTATTTATTGTTTTGTGACAAAGCATCTAAACAGTGCCCAAGAGAGGGGGCTCTCGTGGTCTTGAGGTTACGATGTTCGTTTCTCATTCAATAGGTCCCGGATTCGAACCCTGGCAGCGATATAAAATTTTCTACCCTGTAATGTTCTCATTTCACCTCCTTTCCTTGGCTTTTCCGTACTGCTGTCGTTCAGCCACACCTCTGATCGTATGGTAGGTAAGATCTATATATAACACCTAGCCTTCTCGGATAAGGGTGAAAAATCTCAAGGTCATGTGTGCAAGTTGAGCATGTTAAAGATCTCTTGGTGGTCCTAAAATCGATAAGAGTAGGCTTTTGGCCACCACCTGGGCATAATCCAAAATTTCCTACCAAATTGAAAGTGTTTAACTCTTTGCGGCCGGAATTTTTTTCCACTGACCCGCCCAAAACGCCGGAATTAATTTTCTCAGGAACGCCTTTTACAAAAGGGTACCTTATTCAAATAGATTGTGTTGCCATATTTTTTCAATGGAACTACACATATCGTCGGCAGAGAATTTTCTTGAATTGCTTTTTTCCTTAAAATAGATCGACATAACGAATGGCTACATCCTATTAAAATGTAGAACAATTTTGACAAACAAAAATCTTGTTTTAAAGAGAAATTCTAACCGTATATTCCGACTGACTTCCGTGACTGAAGAATTCTAACCGTCTAATTCATTTAGGTAGTCCGCCATTGTGGATCACGGCGATAACATTTTGCTCTGAAGGAGGCGTTTGATTATAAATAAAATTCTTTTTTCCTTAAAATAGATCGACATGACGAATGGCTACGTCCTATTAAAATCTAGAACAATTTTGACTAACAAGGAAGGCGTTTGATTATAAATAAATGTAACATCAGAAAAGGCTGCTTTTGTTAAAGTAAGGGTTGGTTGACTGTGTCGAGCCTGTGGAGAAAAAGGAGAGAGAAAGCAGAAGATCGTGGTCCATGAAGTAGGCCTACCATCTGCGAGTGAATGGGGCCCGAGTAAAAGTGTGCAAGGCTTTCTTCTTAAGTCCTGTACTTTGTTACTAGTGTGTTCACATTGTTCTCACATGTGGGTTGGGTGTAACAGAGGGTGAGGTTCCAGTTCAGAGAAAAAGGGTTAGGAAGGAGACTACAGCATCAAAGGTACTTAAACCGTTTCTTCGTGATCTGCCCAAGTTGCCATCTCACTATTGCCGA